TGACAATGAGTTTATCATCCTATTATTGTATGTGGATGATATGTTAATTCTGGGAAAGAATACTTCCAAGATTGACGAGTTGAAGAAAGAGTTGTGTAAGTCTTTTGATATGAATCACTTGGGTCATGCCAAACAAATTTTGGGTATGAGACTCACTTATCTTAGAGATGAAAAAAATATTTATTTGTCTGAGAAGAAGTACATTGATCATGTACTAGAGTGCTTCAATATGAAGAATGTTAAGTTTGTTAGTACACCTCTTGCTGGTTATATGAAGTTGAATAAAAATATGTGTCCTATATCTAGGGAGGAAAAAGATAACATGTCCAAAGTTCCATATTCCTTCGTCGTCAAAAGTCTATTTTATGCAATGGCATGCACTACACCTAATATTATTCACGCAATTGGTGTTGTCAACAGATTTCTCGACAATCCGGTAAAAGAGCATTAGGATGTTTTGAAGTAGATACTCAGGTATCTTAGAGGAAGCTGAGATGAATCTTTGTGTTTTGGAGCATAATATTCAATCTTTAAAGGCTATACAGACGTTGATATAGTAAGTGACCTTGATAATCGAAAATCCACTATTGGATATTTGTTTACTAATTCAGTGGGAGCTATTTCATAGTATTCCGAGTTGCAGAAGTGTGTCGCATTATCTATAACTGAAGTCAAGTATATTGCGTCTACTGAAGCCGAAAATGAGATGATATAAATCAAGCGATTTCTTCAAGAGCTTGGCTTAAATCAGATGGAGTATATTATCTATTGTGACAACCAGAGTTCAATAGACTTGAGTAAGAACTCCATGTCAGAACATCGATGTCAGATATCATTGAATTCGTGAGGAAGTGGGAAGTGGATCATTTCACGTCAAAGAAATCCACACGAGTGAAAATCTTGCAGATATGCTGACCAAGACAATATCGAAAGACAAGTTCGAGCTATGCCAAAAACTTGTAGATATGAGATCTCTCTAAGATACCTCCTGGGGGAGATTTGTGGAGTCCATCTTATATTAACTTTTTCTATTCAGTTGCTACAAGTAATTGTTAAAAAGGAATAGTAATTAGAGTTGAAAATAAAAGATTTAATGGTTGGTAAATTGGTAAGATTTGCAACCCTTTTTGACTTTGATATATTGACCTATGTCATTAGTGACACAGACATCATTTTTCTCCTTTTATAAATAGAGCATTCTTGCTCATTTGTAGAACACACCAAGTTAGAGAGAAAAACAATTTTGAGAGATAAGTGAGGTATTCCATAGTCTATACAAGAAAAATAGTTTGTGAAGAAAAATAGAGTGTGAGCGATACTTTAGTTAGGTGGAAACCAAAAGAGTATTGTTCCTTTTGAGTGCGTAGTTGTCACTTTGAGTATTGTATTCGTGAAAACACTGTGTAAATTCATTTATAGTGGTATCAGTTGCTCCTCTTGAACCGTGATTTTTTTCTTATTTAGAAGGATTTCCGCGTAAAATTTTTGGTGTTATTATTTTTCCATTTTATTTTCATTACTTTTACCGTATATATTTTTATGTTTATCCGCGTTTTCCCAACAACATGGTCAATAAAACTTACTTATTTTATCAACAGTATCAAAAATATGATAAGAATAATGCTTTTGTCATATAATGTAACTAAAATTGCTAGCATAGGTAAACATTGAACAAGAATTAGTCTACAAAAGAAATATTTTTACCTATATATTTAGTTGTACTCATCACGTGCCATTAATATAGTAAAGTTCAATATCTTATGATTGCACATCAAACAGGGTGAGTATAATTTTAGGGTAGAATAATTTACTATTATTTCAATCTTATCAATTAATTTGTTTATGTTTAGTAAATTGATTAACCTGGATAGAGGAAGTGAGAAGCCTCATAGTTAAATATTGAATAAAAGTACCCTTAAAAATTGAGTTATCATTAGATGTTCGTTAATATGACTAGTATGCATATCCATGCAATGCGCGGTAATTAATATTATAAAATATTAACTATTCCAACATATTGCATCATTTTGATTTTATATAATATAAATGTTATCTCATTTTCATTTAATAACATAAAATTTATAAAATCCAATTAAGGGAATAAATCATATGAATGCATATACACAATCATTAAATAATTTTTTTAATAAAGATAAATAAGAATACACTCATGAAAAGAATGTATGTGAGACTCTTTAATATTAAAATATGAAAAAATATATATTTAAAATTATTAACTTTTATTCTTTCATATAGAGATTTTGAATAAAGTAAATATTCTTTTTTCATATAAATGTTTAAAATATATTCTTGAATTCAAATAGGCTTTTTCCGAATAATCATTTACTTATGTTAATCGTTAATTAAAAATTAAATACAGTATACATCGCAATTTTTTAATTATTTAAAATTGGTCGGATTTCTATTTATTTAATTGTTATCCAAGAAAAGCTAAAAAAAGATAGCATTTCGAAAATACTTCTAAATTCACTTGGACGTCTAATATAGGAAGTATGTGTTTCTCTTGAGAGACCAGCAAAAGCTATTTTTCTTTGTTTTTAAATTTTTTCTATTCCTCTCTGATTATATTATATGAAATGAACACTTCATATAAAATATTTACTACTTAAATTTTAATTGACATTTCTTTAATCTTTCAAATTTATAGTTATAATTGATTGTTATGTATTGTCATGTATGTTTATTGACCTTTTCGCTGTCTCATCAATTTGTAATACAATTATAAAATCAGAACAGAAAAATTCTTGATTAAAAAAAATTATTTGCGTAATGGTAATAATGAATTTTTTTTCTTAATTTGAGAGTTATTTGAGAAAACGGTCACAAAGATCCTTCTACCTTTTACTACCATTTATTCATAATGTCAAAATAAGTTTAATTTATTTTTCACCCTTCATATAAAAGAACGTAAGAGGCTGGAGAAAATCATAAATAAATTCTATAATAAAAGTTTTTTGGTTCAATTGTAATTAAATTAAATAAATATCATGTCGCTTTAAATCTTTTCTGATTAGTTAACATATTAAAAACCACATGGTATCTCTATTCTCTTGTTACACATTATTTTTCTAAATGTAAAATATAAAACAAATAAAAATACCTCAAACTAAATGTAAACAATACTACAATAAAGTATTGTGACATTTCCTCCAAGTTACTTTTTTGGGCAATTAATGATTCTGAAATCTTGTGTCAGAAAAAATTGAAGGCTTAAGTCATCGACAATTCCTTAAAGTTGTCCGCAAAATTTATTTAGATATGTTAATTAGGATTTGTACCTATTAAACACCTAAATTGTTCAAAACGTGTACCTATTAAACATAAATCGCTCATATGGCAAAAAATGTATTTTGTACTATCCTGAAGTGCGTGAAATGGTTTAAAATAGCATTTTTTATTAATTTTCTTTAGATATTTTCTTCTTTTATTGACACTTGACATTATAATTAATTTTTTAAAAAAAGTCTTCCTTTATTTACACTTTTTTTCAAAAAAGAAGAGCACCACACCCCTTACTATTCATCTTCTTTAATATTTAGTTTGAAAAAGTTTCTCCATTTTAGCTCCAATATTAATTGTCTCTCTTTTTTATATCTATAAAAAAAATATTTCTTCCAAATCTAAAAATGAATGAAAATCAACTGTGAAAAAATTATATGATTTGGATTTGAAAGAAAGATTTTTTTTTGTATGATTTGTTGCAAATTTCTTTAAAATAATGGATCAAATATGAAGAAGAAGAAAAAAGATAAATGATTTCTAGTATAAAAATGTTAGCCGATATATTTTTATTACAATTTTCGAACAAATAGTTTTACTCAAAAATTCAAATATAAACCCATTAAATTTATCAAAATGATATTCCAAAATTTCAAAGAATTAGTTTTTGATGTAAATTTTTTTTGTCATCACTTTTATTATGAAAAATGTATCTTTTTTTAAAAAGTGAATCTTCAAGTTATTTGATAATAATTTAGGTTTTGTGATTTGAGAAAGAATGTGATTTGGGAAGAAGATAGAAGTTCAAAGGGGTTGGGGGGGGGGGGAGGGGTGTGGTTCTTAGAATAGTTTGACATTTCCATCATTATATTTTTTTGAAAAATTAGATATAAAATGTGTTTGAAATAATTTTATAAAATATTGTTTTTTTATAGTTTTGGTGGTCCAGTGTCACATGTAATTTTTCAATTAGTTGTTTTACTATGCCAGCACAAGTGTATCACACTCTTTTCATATTTTTTGATGATTATCAAAAAATGCCTAATAGGAATAATTTTGAATAGGTAAAAGTGTTCAATAGGTACTAATCTTAGTTGAGACGTCTTAAGTGAATTGTGCGGACAGCTTTAAGGGGTCGTCAATACTTAAGCCTAGAAAGTAGGGTTAGTACATATGATGTGAGGATTTCGGGGATTGAAACATGGATAGTTAATTTCAGGTTGGAAATTTTTTATTCTTCTTTTTCATTATTTTTTTTGATGTTTTATTTTTATTAAAGAATTGAATTCAATACAGCTATAATAATAATAATGTTAGTATTTATATTTTATGTCTTGCGAAAAATATTTTACTTCAGATTCTAACCCTCAGTATTAAGGATATGGATAAGATAAAACTTAAAATGATATTTATTTTTAAATCACAATAAAATTAAAAAAATTATTTTTAAAACAGTTTTCCTGTTATAAAGTATTTGTATTATAGTGAATGTCTATCATGTGGAGTCCTTTTTAGGATATGGTTAAAGAGTCCTACTTGGGGACCAAGTTATATTTCTCCTATAAATTGAGTGCTCCTCTTTATTGTAAATTTATTCGTCAAGAGAAATAACAAGTCTTCTCTTCTTTACTCTCTAGTTTCTTCTTCTTATTCTATAGTTTTATAACAAGTTATCAGCATGAACCTCTAATTTCTCAAAAGTGAAGGTTAGATTTGAAGAATTAATAAAGGTATTATTTATTCTTTTGTTTTTAATTTTTATGGCCAATCTTATAGCACTAGACTTCATTGCCCTTCAAAGTTCGGGCAGGAACTACCTCTCATGGGTGTTGGATGCTGAAATCCACCTTGATGCAATGGGTCTTGGAGACACCATAAATGAAGAAAATAAGGCATCAAATAAAAAATGTGCACGAGCAATGATTCTCTTGCGTCATCATCTTGACGAGATTCTGAAAATCGAATATCTGACAGTTAAGGATCAACTTGTTTTGTGGAAAAAATTAAAAATAAGATTTGATCACTTGAAGATGGTCATACATCCAAAGGCACGATATGATTGGATGCATCTAAGTCTACAAGACTTTAAGTCTATACATGAGTACAATTCTGCCATGTTCAGAATCACTTCTCAATTGAAATTATGTGGTGAAACGGTTTGTGAGATTGATATGATGCAAAAGACATTCTCCACTTTACATGCCTCGAATGTGCTTTTGCAGCATCAATATCGAGAGAAAGGTTTCAAAAAGTATTCTGAACTAATTTTTCATCTACTTGTGGCCGAGACAAATAGTGAATTATTATTGAAAAATCATGAGAATCGATCTACTGAATCTGAAGCACTTCTAAAGTGAATGTGGCGTATGCCCACCATGCTAGGCATTGAAAAGGTCGCGGTCCTAATCGTGGTCGTGGATGTGGACGTGGTCGTGATCGTGATTATGTTCAAGAACATAATTTTATTCCTGCCATTAATCATTCATCAAATAAAAAGAAAAAAAGAAAGGATGAGAACCATGAAGCAACTAGGAAAGTTTGTTTTTGATGTGGTGGAAGAGGTCATTATGCACGTGATTGTCGTACTCTCAAACACTTGGTTGAGCTTTAAAGGAATCACTAAAGAAGAAAGAGAAAAATCATGAGGCAAATTTTATATATGAAAATCAAGTTGACATCACGCACTTGGATGTAGAAGATTTTTTCGCACATCTTGAAGGAAAAATAGATCACTTAAGATGGTTCTGTGAACATGAAAGAGTGATACTTTTTTTGGTAGTATTTATTAATAAATTTCATGTAATGATAGTTGTTTGCTTGTGTATTAATATTTTAAATTAGTTTAGTCGTTCATTAGCTTGTTCCTTAATTCTTAATTAAATAATATATTTTTTTTAAAATTTATTTATATGATTCTAATATGATAGAGTTAGTCAAATACTAATCTTTATCACGTGTTTGTATTATATTAGGTTTTTAACTTGGTCTAATGTTAAAAAAATATTTTCTGATATTAACAAGGATTTATCATGTGTTTGTATTATATTAGGTCTTTAATTTGATCTAATATTAAAAACATGCAGTCTGTTATTAACTAGCATTAAAAAATGATTTTATTTTATTTTCCTAACAACTCGTTATTGACTTAGAGGAAACAATAAATTAAGGCTCAATTTCTAATATTTAATTATTAATTTATTCTTCTGAATATATTGTACCCTTTTGACAACACTAATATTTAATTTATATATTTATTTTGTCTATATCATTTCATGTGAAGATATGGATAATTCTAAGAACATATTATCAAAATATGAAGATATTTGTTTAATTAATTCTGGTACAACACATACGATATTCAAAAATAAGAAATATTTTTCTCATTTAAGTATAGGTAAAATAAATGTTACTACAATATTTGGTAGTACTAATATGATTGAGGGTTTTGGAAGAGTCATTGTAATTTTGTCAAAGGAAACTAAACTCATCATTAATAATGCTATGTTTTCTCCAAAATCTAAGAGAAACTTGTTGAGTTTTAAAGATATCTGTGAAAATGGTTATCATATCCAATCAATGGATGAAATAAATCTTGAATATCTTGGTATCACCAAGAATGTCTCAAGGCAGACATGTGTTATAGAAAAGATACCTGCTTTATCTTCTGGCTTGTGTTGAACAAAAATTAGTGCAATTGAGACACATTTTATAGTAAATAAGAAGTTTACTGATTCCAATACATTTTTACTTTGGCATGATCGTCTAGGACATCATGGGTCAATAATGATGAGACGAATTATAGAAAATTCGAATGGACATCCACTAAAAGACCTAAAAGTTCTTTTAGGTGGTGAATTTTCTTGAACTGTTTGTTATCAAGGCATGTTAATGGTGAGACCATCACCTATGAAAGTTAAGATTGAGTCCCCTGCGTTCTTGGAACGTATACATGTGGATATTTGTGGACCTATTCACCCACCTAGTAGGTCATTTAGATATTTTATGGTTCTAATAGATGCTTCTTCTAGATGATCTCATGTGTGCCTATTGTCATCTCGTAACTTGGCATTTGAAAAATTATTGTCACCAATAGTGAGTTTAAGGGCACACTTTCTTGATAATCAGATTAAGTCCATTCGTCTTGATAATGCTGCAGAGTTTTCATCCTAATCATTTAATAATTATTGTTTAGCAATTGGGATAAGAGTTGAACACTTCGTTGCTCATGTTCATACTCAGAATGGTCTCGCTGAGTCATTAATTAAATGTTTGCAATTAATAGGAATACCATTGTTTATGAAAACTAAGTTGCCCACTTCTGTGTGGGGACATGTAATTTTTTCATGCTGCAACACTTATTCGTCTCAGACCGACAAGTTATCATAAGGTTTCTTCATTGAAATTGGTTATGGGTCAAAAACCTAATATATCACATCTAAGAATTTTTTTAAGTGTTGTACATATGGCTGTGGCACCACCAAACCACACTAAGATGGGCCCTCAAAGGAGGTTAGGAATATATGTTGGGTTTGAGTCACCCTCCATTATTCGCTATCTTGAACGAATGACTGGAGACATGTTTACTGCTAGATTTGCAGATTGTCAGTTTGATGAGATAGTTTTCCCAAAATTAGGGGGAGATAAAAGTGAAATAAAATGAGAAATTTTGTGTAAAAAATTATCATTATCTTATGTTGATCCATGTTCTTCTACTTGCGAACAAGAAGTACAAAAGATTATTCATCTGCAGAAAATTGCAAATCAAATGCCCGACGCATTTACAAATTTGAAAAGGATTACTAAATCAGATATTCCTGCAGAGAACGTCCCAATTCGAATTGATGTCCCTAAAGAACCATCCACTAGTGTCATAGCTAATGAGTCAAAAGCACACCTAAAATGTATTAGACCATTGGGGTCTAAGGATCGAAATCCTGGAAAAAGAAAGATTAAATGTCAAGATGAAACTTTGAAAGAATCTCATATGGAAGTTCAAAATTTGAATAAGTCTTATATTCATGAAAGAATCAATGAACTTGAAACTCAAAGAAATAATGAACTATCCATAAATATAAGAGATGTTGAAACTAATATGAATCGATGAGAAATAGTGGTTGATTATGTCTTTGCATATAATGTTGCAACAAATATCATGCAAGATAATGAGGATTATGAACCTAAATTTGTTATAGAATGTCGACAACGAAATGATTGGCCAAAATGGCAAGAAGCAATTCAATCAGAGTTGAATTCACTTGTCAAACCTGAAGTTTTTCAACCTATAGTTCAAAAACCTAATGATATTAAACCTGTTGGTTACAAATGGATTTTGGTGCGAAAAAGAAAGGAGAAAAATGAAATACAAAGATATAAAGCACGCCTTATGGCACAAGGATTTTCTCAAAGGCCTGGCGTCGATTATGTGGAGACATACCCACCCGTTATGGATGTAATAACATTGCATTATCTCATTAGTTTCACAGTCCATGAGCAACTTGAAATGCATTTGATGGATGTGGTTACATCCTACCTTTATGGATCACTTGATAATCAGATATACATGAAAATTCCTGAAGGATTTGCAATGCCTAAATTATGTAATTCAAAATCTCTAGAAATGCATTCAATTAAATTGCAAAGATCATTATATGGTTTGAAGCAATCTGGGCGCATGTGGTATAAAAGTCTTTGTGAGTATTTAATTAAGTAAGGTTAAACAAATGATGCAATTTGTCCATATGTCTTTATAAAGAAAACAATATCGGAATTTGTTGTACTTGCTATTTATGTTGATCACATAAATCTTATTGTAACTCTAATAGAGCTTCAAAAAGCAATTGATTATTTAAAGAATGAATGTGAGATGAAAGATCTGGGAAGGACAAAATTATGTCTTGGTTTGCAAATTGAGCATTTGACAAATGGTATTTTGTTCATCAATCTGCCTACACAGAAAAAGTGTTGAAACGATTCTGTATGGATGAAGCACATCGATTAAGTACTCCAATGGTTGTCTGTTAACTTGATGTGAATAAGGATCTATTTCGACCTCAAGAAAAGGATGAAGAAATTCTTGGTTCAGAAGTACCATATCTTAGTGCAATTGGTGCACTAATGTATCTTGCTAATACTACAAGGCTTCATATAGCTTTTGTTCTTAACTTGTTAGCAAGGTATAGTTCTCCTCCTACTAGGAGACATTGGAATGGGATCAAACACATTTTGTAATATCTTAAAGGGACAACTCATATGGACTTATTTTATTCTGTTAATTGTAGCCCAAATCTTGTGGATTATGCTGATGCAGGATATTTATCTGATCCACACAAAGCTCAATTCCAAACAGGCTATGTGTTTATTTGTGGGGGGACTGTCATATCTTGGAGATCTACAAAGCAGTCCATCGTAGTCACTTCATCTAATCATGCTGAAATAATAGCTATTCATGAAGCAAGTAGAGAATGTGTGTGGTTAAGGTATATGATACATCTCATTCGAGAGAAATGTGGTTTGGAATGTGATAAAGTACCCACCACTTTATATGAAGATCTGCAGTATGCATAGCACAACTTAAGGGAGGATTCATAAAGAGAGATACAACAAAGCACATTTCACCGAAGATTTTCTATACACATGAACTTCAGAAGAATGGTGATATAATTGTGCAACAGATTCGTTCAAGTGACAATGTGGCTGATCTATTGACAAAGTCTCTATCAGCTGCAACTTTCAAGAAGATGGTGCACAAGATTGGAATGCGAAGATTCAAGTCTCTGGATTGATGTTCTCATTAGGGGGAGTTAATATGCCCTGTACTCTTTTTCCCTTACGAGGTTTTGTCCTACTGGATTTTCCTTGTAAGGTTTTTAATGAGGCAGCCTAGATGTGTATTAATAGAAATATGTACTTTTTTCCTTTACTAGAGTTTTTGTTTTCTTAAAGTTCTTTTTAGTAAGGTTTTTTGACGAGGCACATCATCTATGAATTAGACACTCAGGGGAGTGTTATAAAGCATATGTATTATAGTGAATGTCTATCATGTGGAGTCCTTTTTAGGATATGGTTCAAGAGTCCTACTTGGGGACCAAGTTAGATTTCTCCTATAAATTGAGTGCTCCTCTTCATTGTAAATTCATTTAACAAGAGAAATAACAAGTCTTCTCTTCTTTTCTCTCTAGTTTCTTCTTGTTATTCTATAGTTTGATATTCTTTTTATTTATTTGAATGTTTGAAATTTTTATTTTTAGTTTAATTTTTAAATTATTCTTTTTTAAATTTAGGTTTTAATTTAAAAAAATGAATTTTAATTTTAATTTCAGAATGAATATTTATATTTTATAAGAAAAGCTTTAGCTTG